ACCACTCCTTGGGCAGCCACAGCATGCCGAAGGCCTGCTCGAAGAGGCGGTGGTGCACTGGGTACCAGTCGCAGAAAGGGTCCCAGCTAGGGCTCCGCAGGAGCGAGAAGGGCACGTGTCGCTAGGTCATGCTGGCTCGGTTCTGGGTATGCTGGCTCGGTTCTGGGTTCTTGCGCATCTTGCTGAGGCTCGGAGAACTGCCCGGCGCTGGAGCCAGCGGCGCTTTTTTCTGGTGTACATTCTTAATGTTTACCTAAATTATACATGATTATGAGTACCTGGTGCAAATCACACACGTATGCACTCATCTATATATATAATAGCCTAAGTGATCAAATGACCGGTTGACCAGGCTATGACGTGCACTGACCACCAGGGGGCATATGCTCAGCGCAGGAGCTGCCCCATGATGGTCAGTGCATTCACACAGCGAGAAAGAGTGCTGCTCAGCTGACTGACCCATCCCAGTGGCCCACCAGCCTGGCAGCAGCCACTCACTCCTTCAGTAGTCCTGCAGGTCCAATCTCCAGAGAATGGGCCAGGCACTGACCGACCAGTGCCACTGGCCTATTGGAAGTCAGCCTTGGCCACCATGGCTGCTTCCCCTCCCTAGATGCTCCACAAGGAAGAAACGATATAAAAGCAGCCACCAGGTGGCTCCCGAGAGCCGGCAAAAAAACATCAACTGGATGGATCCAGATCCCAGGCTGGCAAGGGCATCCCACCATCCTCCAGGAGGGCTGATCACATCCAGGCCCCTTCAATCCCCCTAGAACCAGCACAAGACACAAGGCTCATGGCTTGTTAGCGCTGCTGCTGCTGCAGGCGTAGCAGGGCCGGGATGAGCTGGAGTGGCAGACAGGAGTGGCAGGCAGTGTTGGACTGTCATTTTCATTTCAATCCCCACAGGCCATGTCAAGGGACCCCACCCATGCACGAATTTGACCGTCAGCTCCTCGGGGGCGAAGTGGTTGACGTCCAGGGACACGCGCCAGTGGTCGGGCGTGTGCTGGATCTCGGAGATGCCGCTGCTGAGTTGTCGGCTGAGCCGCGGCTGTAGGCGGGCGCAGGCAGCGCTGGGGC